AACAAACGTTTTGATCAGCAAAAAATTCTGCATAAAATAGGCTTGGTCCCATTTTAAAACTCCGTGGACACTAAAAAACGTCTCCTTGTTAGTGCGCCAAAAAATCTACCCAAAGCGGGCAGCAACAACGTCCGATTTTGACGATTTACGTATCTATCGAACACTAAAAATCATCCCGTTCACGTTCCTGGGACCGCTTGGGGCGGGGGATTTTTTTGGGGGACCCTGTAGCATCCTCGAGCTGAAGCGTGCGCCAAAAACATATTTCTTTTATTACTAGGCTATTTCGCTGGCGGGTTGTCCATTTTTGTGTTCGTTCACCATCAGCAAGGTCGCCGGATTTTAAATGTTTTCGTGCTACTCTCATCATTATAGTGGATGAGCTTCGTGGCGAAATTTGAGCGACTTTCCATGCATGAACAACGCAAAAGGCCTGTAGCAAATCAGTACTATGAGAGCAGAGCCATGTTCCGCAGGCCGAACTTGAACGATGCCACCAACGTTCTCGATGTGTTCCCGATTCTAGTCCTACCTTCGCTTAAACCGGACAAGGTGAAATCAAAATCTTGCCAATATCTTTGTCAGGACGACAAGTTTTTCCGGCCGAAGAACCTCAATGATGAATTTCACGTGATAGCTAGGGGAACTTACGCTGATATTATGTAAGGAAGTAAAGATTTTGTGGGAGATATTGTCTTAAAGAGCCGCTAAGATGTCACGGAAAGGAACAGATGCCGGCGATGTATCTGTGGCAATAAGACGGTAGGTCGATACAGTGGCATTTCAACGCTTCGATTTGATATTTTGCTAAGGTAGCAAATTGATGGACTTAAGGTATTCGATTGAACGGCTCTCATCAACCGTCGATGGATATCGGCGAGTGAAGCGTGAAGTGGACATCGCGCGCTTCATGCAACACGAAAACGTAGGGTGCCCCAAAAAAATTCTTCCGGGCTTTGGGCTCGAGCAACTTTTGATAGAAGAATATTTCACCATGCGTTACCAAGAATGTATAAAAGCGTCGGGAACTCCGATTTGGAGAAACTTGATTTTTCGATGTTCGGTGACGTACCCATAAAAATGACACCCGAAAACTGTGCGTTCGGGGGAAACTTGAAATGTATTCCCCTCAAAATTTGAAGAATTTGCTATTAAGATTCAATCTTGTTGCTATTTATAAGCGAAACACCAGAAACCTCGCACCACTCGTTTAAGGACGCGGAGTTTTCGGTCGTAACAAACGTCAATACACGATGTGGGATTAAAACCTTGAACGTAACCTTGAAACGATCAAGGAATGTAGGAAACCAAAACCAAATGTAGGCAAGTTTTCCAGATTGTCAAATTCTACGGAACCTGGCCGGAGCCTCCCACTGAACCGACCAAGTTTTTCTGTATCATTACGGAGCGCATGGATCACACGCTGGAAAAATACTTCGAGTTGTTTTTATTCCGGCTGCCGAACTTTACGTTGCAGGCACTTGCGGAAAAAGGACACCGATGATCAGCCGGTTAAACGAGACATCCGACACATTGCTGCAATGCTGGCACAACTATTGCGAGCGCTCGATTTTCTTCATAGCAACGGAATTATACATCGTGTAAGCCATACAAAACCGAGGATATCGCAACAAGATTTCATTTACTTTAGGACATTACCCCACGCAATATTGGGATGAATCAAAAAGAGTTTGTCGTCAAACTTCTGGACTTTGGGTTGGCCAGGTAATAATTGATCGACGCTTTCGAGCCCGAACATCGCTGTTAAAGGGCACGTTCAGGGACGGTTTTTTAGCAAAAAGCAAAGATTTTTACCGTGGCCGGGGGTCGAACCCGGGCCCCCGCTTGGGAGGCGCGGATGGATACCAGTCAGCCACAGGTGCAAGCTGGCGAGGGGCCGAGGGGCGCCCCACCCCGGAAAGGAGGGAAATTGCCTCCCACGGCACGGGCGGGCATTGCGCGCGGTCCCTACGTCCATAGGGTGTACGCGTTGGGACGAGTACACGGCCCCTCCCTGAACGTGCGCTTTAATCTGATTCTAGAGACATTCTCCCCAACAACGACTATACAATCAACGTCGATACCCCGCCAATCTACAAGGCTCCTGAGGCACTGGTTCAAGAAAAGTACGATACTGGAGTGGATATTTGGGCTAGCGCGTTGGTGACTGTCGAAATGTTGGGGCTCAAATTGATGATGCCCCTCGATTTGCACTCTTCATCGAAGTGTGCTTCCGTTGATTCGGTATTGATCAGGATGAGAAACGTTATGGCCGGTCCGGAAATCGAGCACTTGAGGTAATAGAATTACAGACAAAACCAAAAGATTCCTTGAGCAAACTTTGGGAGAATAAAATCGATCAGTGCGACAGGCCACCGCTTATCCTTGATCCAAATCAACGTCTTAAAAATATCTTTGCCGACACCTTGGCGCCGCGCATCGGTGATAACATCGGGCCATTAACAAGTAGATACAAGACTTAAGACCCTATCTTGATTTCTTTGCAGAAAACGACTTGTTCGACTTGTTAACCCAAATGCTAACTGTGGATAGGCAACAACGTCCCACGGCCAGCAAATTGCTCGCCCACGCTTTTTTAAACATTCTTAACGTAAGTTTTATACGGACTGAAGCGATGCAGTCCTTTCTCTTTTTAGCGGAAATTGCGGGAGCGAGCTGGGCAAACTGCAAATACTCTCGAAGCTGAAAACGACTGCGCACGTGCCGAGCTAATGAGCACCCGAACCTTTCGCTGGGTTAACGTTGCTTCAGCCGGCTTGCCGCAACAAGAGAAACTTCACGGGAAGGAATAGATTCTAGATGTCAGTTACCCAATTTTTTTTCGCAATTGGCTGGGGTATATTGAACTTCTATAAACTGAAGCAATCAAAGAAAGATAGCTTCCTAAAGAGCCCTCGCCTGCCTTGCTGATCGGGGTCTTTTTGCGAACAAAGTCAGGAGTCTCAAGGTATCTCAGCTAGCCTGCCCTAGCCCTATTTCCGGTTTTTTATATTTTTTTGAGAAGTGATACCATTTTTTCATACCAATAATTTTTAAATATTGTCGCATTAATAATAAAAACTACCTGTGGATAATCCTCCAGCAACGTCTGCACAATATACATCACTAGCGTTTTCCTAGCGATCGAAGCACCTTTGCTCAACGTTAGTAAAATGAGCTTCAACACGTCTTCTTGCATTGCTGAAAAAATATCCGCTGTCACTGTCTCTTTAAAATCAAGAAAGTCGCGTTTTCTACCATACCTGGCCCCAAAAATTGGCATCCCCTCGCACGGACGGCCGTCCATAATTGGGTGGAAAGACTGTGAGAAGATTGTTGATGGGACAACAGTTCGCTCAGTACCCGTTCCGCCACGCTACGCAGAGTACGTAGGATCTAAAAAAGCCGAAAATTAAAACGAAAACATTTTTGAAAAATCTGAAATTTTCTGTTTCGTCACGAAAGTTGGAATGTCCTTTCTTCATTTTCTTTAAGAATTATACTATGGCAGCCAGAAAGCGTCTACGCGTTAAAAAAATAGCTTCGATGCATTTTAGAAAAAATTGACCGACAGTTCTCCGCACTTTTTGTAAAACGTTTACGCCATGCAATCCGTCTCGCTGAAATTCCATTTTTGCAAACCGATTACGCAACTTAATCATTTGCTTCAAAAACTAAGGCATGGCATACAGAAAGCATCTACGAGTCGAATTCTGACTTCATGTTTTTTGAAAAACTATTACGAACCTCGTTGACCTTTTTTGGAAAACCGATTACGCCATGAAATCCATATATTTACTTTTAGACCTACTTTTGGCTTCGTCTCATCGTCAACCACCTGCATACATAGCAGAGAGACCAATTTTCGCTGTAGGGTCCGACTAAGCACCTGAAAAATGGTTTTCTGGTTTGTAGTTTTCGACGCTGGTGACGTACCTCGCTCCAAACACTGCCTCCCCTTTCTGAATTCGCCTTTCTCAGGTACCCAGCCAATACATGTAGATTCAAATGACATTCCACAATTGAATTTATCTCCTCTGGATGACGGCCTGGAAAATCCATAGATTTCTTGACTTCCTAGTTCCTTTAAACTGACCATAATGGGCTAGAAGACGTGCAATTTCATGGGAAACGTCTTTCTGGACCCCGACAATCGAAAGGATTGCCGAATTGGTCGGCAATTCTTGGAGGGAGTAGCGATTTTCGGCCTGAAACCATTGGAACTTTTGGAATCGAGCATAATTTATTTTTTAAGTCAGAATTTCGATTTTTATGTTCTAATCCCTTATGGAGGGAAATGTTTTTTATTGTCTTACGACAAATCAAGTCAAATAAAAAATAAAAACCTGATCGATAGGACAGTACGCTCCGGGGTACACGTGCGTACATGGCCGGCAGATAATGTGGCCACAAATCGAAGTGACCGGCTCTCGTGGAATGCCGAACATCTAAAATTCGATAATTCAACTTTAAATAATTTTGAATCTATAGTACTTTTTAAAATTTTGAATTTTTAGCTTTTTGTAAAATACAAAATTGCGTAAAGTCCCAAAAAATGTAGATATTTCCTGCTTAAAGGAATTGTGGCATCTTAAAAACCTGATTTTATACTTTTCTAAATCATAAAAATTCGGTAGAAAGGACAAAGTATCAGAAATTATTTTTTGAAATTCCAAAACCCCGAAAAAATCCAGAAACCCACCTCTCCACAGCTCGGACAGCACAGAATCTCGGACCATGTTTGGCCCTGGGCGGCGGCCGGCATTTTACAAAATTGTTAAAGTTTTTGGCTATCAGATTCCATCCGAAAATAGCAACTTCCGAGGGTGCAAGAATTCGTTCGGAAGGGGTTATCCCCGGGGCAACGCCTTCTGGAGGGAATGTCTGCACTCTCTCCCCTTCCCCCACTCTCATCCCTGCCTCTCTGCACCCTCTCCATTCCGCCTATCTCTCTCCCTCCCTTCCGTCGTCGTCAATCGATTCTGAAGCCAAACAACGGCCGCACCGACAATGAACACCATCGCAAATAGCCCTGGGGGCTGTCTGTACAAAGGCGAGAAAAATTGCGCAAAAATTGCTGCTAGCCTGCCAAGACCGGGCTTTCAATGAGCCTAAAATTGTCCTTTTACGTGAAAAACTGTCGAATTTGATTTGTCTTTGATTTGATTTGATTGATTCTTGATTTGTCTGAATTGGCAAAACAAATTCCTCAAAAATCGCTGCTAGCCTGCCGGGATCAGGGCTGAAAATTGTACGAAAACCACCCTTTGCATCAAAGTGGCATGAAAATTACACTCATTCTCGAAGAAAGCGCCTTGAAATCCTTTTAATTTTTTAATTCTGGATGGACTAAAGAAATTCATCCAAGGTCTCTGTTAAATTCGTCACAAAATTCCGCAAAAATTGCTGCTAGCCTGCCAAGAGCGGGGTTCAGAAGGTTCAAAATCTAGTCTGGTTGACGGAAAGCATAAGCGTCGTTTTTATTTAGCATTTAGCAGTTCCACAATGATCTCTGTAGGCTTATCCGCAATCTGGCGCTGGCCTAATTTTACGGCGCAAAAATTCCTCAAAAATATATGCTAGCTTTTCGCTTTCATTTTTATTTTAGCTTGCGGAAATGGGCCAAAATTCGTGGTTTTGGCTAAAAAACGGTTCATTCTTGTCTAGAAAACTGTTTTCTGGCCAGCAAGCGCTTCCTAAATTACCGGTGCTTGGCATTTATTGTGCTATAGAACTCGAAAATTTTTATTTGGAGAGTCATCATATTGAAAAACAGAAATGATTTAACAAAAATTTAAGTTAGTGGCTTAACCGAGCGGGCCCAGTATGTAGAGCATTTCCACAGTGGTGACATTGGCATTGGCCTGCCAGACCGACTCCACATCCTTCGGGTTCTTCACCTGGAATCACAATTCTTTTTTTCTTAGGACCCTTGTTCAAGCATAAATAACGGCGTGTTTCGAAGTGATTTTTCACTCTGCCTATGCGTAAAAACTTGACAAATTTTTATGCAAAAATATAGAGATATCGATTTTTCTATCGAAATTGTAGTATTTTTCAATAAAATTCCGGCTTTTTAAAGGTTTTATATATTTTCTAAAGATTCTACTACTAGCTTCTACTAAAAATACTATTAAAACACTATGATTAAGCTGTTAGCCATTTCTAGACGCATAATTACCCCCCGATGATGCCAAAGAACAAAAGACATCGTTACCGACCTCGATATACCGGATCTGCACGGGGAATGCGCGTCTGGTGTACACAGGCTGGTGGTCGACTCGCATCTGAATAAAAATAGTCGCTATAATTACAGAAAATTAAGAATGTCTGAAGGTTTTTAGAGTTCAATTACGTTTTATTATTCCAATTTTAGCGAACTTTTGATGGAATTGACCTCCAAATTTTTCTATCAGGGGACCGTTTTTAATTTACGAAAATATCGTTGAAATCGCAACTTTCATAGCTTTTTATTATCACAATCGACAGAAACGGACTCGAAAATTAATCTAATTATTAAATTAATGAAATTACTCAAAATAAACACGTTACAACACAAATTAAACATGTTAATTGCGAAAACACGGACGAAAAGGCGTAGAAAATTTCAGTCCCGGTTTTGGCAAAACCCCGAATCCTATGAACAAAATTTTTTTTTGACATTCTAAATTTCGACATTCTAAAATGTCGGCATTATGAATTTCGACCATATGACTAATTTGGTATATGAAAATCGCGGAAAAATTACAATGAGAAATTGGAGCAAAACGCGCCCGTCAGAAGATCCCAACCTTTTCCTGGCGGCCTAGATTGACTTAGTAATGGAACATAAAATGTTGTTTTTTCTTGTTTCTAATAAGTTTTTATTAGGCGCAATGCATTTAGAAAATTGCTTGAAAATGACGAAAATTTGCTCATTTTGGGACATCAAAAATTGTCGATTTTCGACCTAAAGGTTTTTATGCTCTCGAAGAGTTATTAAAACTTTTATTCAGGGCCATTAAAATTATTAACAGAAAAATTCGTTACAACGGCCAAAAAAAATTCAAGGTTAATAATGGTGGCATCTTTTCTCGCCCCGGAGTTGCAGCGTTTCGATCTTCCTGGCGTTTGGGAAAGACTGCCAGATAACCTCGGCTTCTTCTGCGGTGTCCACCTGCAATGGAAAATAATACTTATTGAGGGTCATTTTCTTCCGCTTTTTTTGGGTTTTTTTCCCTCAAAAAACAGCAACGTCACCCACCTCGATGTATCGAATTTGCAGCTGGAATTTACGGGTAGACCTCACGGGTTGGTGCTCGATACACATTTCCTGAAATGGGCTAGGATATGGGAAAATTTGCTCATCATCATCCCATTGGTCAAAAAACTAAAGGTTAACTTAAAACCAACCCCCAGCCCCCCAATTAAGTTCAGCGAGAAAAACAGCAAAATATCTAAGGAACGGAGCAAATTTTCGGGCAAAATCCATTTAAAGGCCGCTGGAAAAATGCAATGGGTGAGAAAACAAAGCATTTCGCACCAGGCGGGGGTCGCACCAGTGATGCTCCACTCCATAGCCGGTACCCCACGACACAAAACGGGCGCACGGAAAGGCGTGGCGTGGCGAAAATGCGGCGTGAAACAAACACGTGGTGAAAAGGTTTCACAAGCTTTCGGGCTACGCGCAGACCGTTTTCCCTTTTCTTGCATTGGCATTCGCACAAAAATTAGGAATTCGCGATATGAATTACGTCGATAGTAGTCCCCCATTGGTTCCTCACCCCTCGGGACACTCGACCATCTTTCCAACGGCCTTTAAACGTACTCACAATACCTACCTGGGCCAATATTCTGCTATCGCTCGGTGGGATGAGGAAAGGCGCCTGGCACCAACGATCGCTCTGACAAATCTGAAACGACTTTGTTGGGCACATCTAGGGATTTCCCCCCCTCTCTCTCTCTCTCTCTCTCTCTCTCTCACTCTCTCTCTCCACTCACTTGCATGTACATATATCCATCCGGTTTCGTTCTATCCGGTAACGGTAGTATACTGTAGTCCCTAGTGCCAAAGTATTCAGCATCCTCCATCGTGCCCAGCAGATAGCCCACAGAACCCACGCCCAACAAGACGAAGAAAATCGCGTAGAGTACACAAGCTGCTCTCCGCCCCTTCACAGATTTTGATAGAAAAACAGTAGGGGAGTACCTCTTTCTTTTCATCAGTGACCTTTCCCGGGGGAGCCATCTTCGAACCTTCACAAAGATCTGCTGAAAAAGTGTCTCGTGCTTGCGACGCAACGCGAAGAAGACAGAAAATAATTCGATTAATTTCCAGCCACTCCGATGATTGCCTTACAAGTTTGATTGGTTATCGTAATGCCGAGATTCATACTGTGTAAATTTCAATCAGCGGAAAGTTTTTGGTATAGGATTTGGGGTTCGGCCGGCAATTTGCTTATGGAAGTTTCGAGATACCGAAGGTTCGACATTGACATTTTGTTTTCGGAAATTTCGGCATTATGGATTTCGTAAATGAAGTATCCCTACAAATTGCGATTTTTTGGGGCGCGGGTATAAAAAGTTAGGAACAATAGCCGGGATATGGTAAGATTCGGGAGACAAGCAAATATGAGTGAATACAGATGTAAGCTGATGGAGCGCCCTTGATTATGGGAGGTGGCCTAGCAATGACAGATGAAAAGTCACATCTGGCCGAATAGCCTCGGGATACATCGACTAGCCAGCCATTCAAAAATTACCGCCAGATCGATTTGGATTTGAATGGATTGGTTCGCGCCTATTTGGTGCAAGATATGGTACCGAGGCGGTTTCGGGAAACCCCCCCCGCGGCAAAAAAAAAAAGAAGAAAGCGGGGGGGGGACAAAATAGCCAAAGGGGGGCGGGGCGAGGCATTCGACCTAAAATTAAAGTTTTGATGCTCTCGAATAGCTAAAAACAATATATAACCGCATCCGCTATTCATTAAAAAATTTGGGCTAGGACCGAAAAAAGTAGGTTGGCCCCCGCGAATCCTAAAACCAGAAAGGAAATCCGGAAAGATCCCTGATGGCTTGCCCGCAAATTCGTTGCACCGATGAACGCAAAGACTTTTATTCAGAGAAATGAAATTCATTCAAAGAAAAATTGGTGAGAAACGACAAAAAATGAAGGTTAAGAGCGGTGGCATCTTTGCTCGCCTAGAAGTTGCACCGTTTCGATCTTCCTGGCGTTCGGGAAAGACTGCCAGATAACCTCGGCTTCTTCTGCGGTGTCCACCTAGAATGAAAAAAATAATTTTTGAGGGCCAATTCCTTCTTTTTTGGTAATAAAAAAACAGCAACGTCACCCACCTCGATGTATCGAATCTGCAGCTCGAATTTGCGGAAAAACCTCACGGGTTGGTGCTCGATGCGCATTTCCTGAAATCGAAATTGGCGTAGCTCACAATCGTCGGTCAAAAAACTAAGGGGTTACCGTCTTACGTACCCCCAAAATGGTTTCGTCGCGAAAACCGCAAATATCGGAGAAAGAACGCAAAGTTCCCGGGCCAAATCTACTTTTTTGCCGGGTGTACGGATTACATGTCGTAATTCAGCTAATACCCGTGATTCTGCGACCGACTTTTCATAAATAAACCGCTTTTAGAATCCTTGGATAAAAGGAACTCACATTGGCCAATATTCTGCTGTCGATCGGTGGGATGAGGAAAGGCGCCTGGCACCAGTCATCGGTCTGACAGATCTGGAACGACTTTAAAGGTACACTAAAATCTCGCTTAAAAAGGTGGGTCGCGGCCGGGAATTTTGTCCCTTTGTCTTCCCTCGGACGGTTTCTAGCGGACTCTCTCTATCTCTATCTCTATCTCTCTCTCTCTCTCTTTCTCTCTCATCTCTCTCTCTCACTCTCTCTCCCCACTCACCTGCATGTACATATATCCATTCGGTTTCGTTCGAGTCGGTAGCGGAAGTAAACTGTAGTCTCGAGTGGCAAAACGTTCATCCATCGCCATGCCCATCACGAAGGCCATGAACAGACAGACCAGCGAGAAGATGCAAATGAGGACGAACACAGCCCATGCCTGCCGTGGAAAAGATTTGCTAGAAAAACAGTGGGGAGTACCTCTTTCTCTTTGTCAGCGACCTTTCCCGAAGGAGCCATTCTCGATGAACTTCACAAAGATCTGCTGAAAAAGTGTTCATGCTCGAAGAAAAATGCGAACAAGGCAGAAAAGAATAGTCCGATTAATTTCTAGTCACTCCGATGATTGCCTTACAAGTTGAATTTATTATCGTAATGCCGAAATTCCTACTGTCGAAATTTCAATCAGCGGAAAGTTTTTGGCATAGGTTTTGGGGTTTTGCCGACAATTTGCTAAAGTGAGTTTCGATACTCCAAAAGCTGGGCATGCTAAAGTTTTGGCCATTTCTAAACGTCGGTTTTGTGAAATTTCGGCATTATGGATTTCGAAAACGAAGTATCCATACAAATTACGATTTTTGGGGCGCGGGTATAAAGAGTTAGGTTCAATAGCCGGGATACGGTAAGTTTCGGGAGACAAGGACACATGAGTGAATACAGATGTAAGCTGATGGAGCGCTCTGGATTATGGGCGGTGGCCTACCAATCACAGATGAAAAGTCACATCTGGCAGAATAGCCTCGGGATACATTGACTAGCCCGCCATTCAAAAAATGTTCGATAAATCGATCTCGATTCGAATGGTTTAATTCGCGCCATATTTAACGCACTAAAGTTCGCATTGGCTATCTGTCAGCGGTTCCGAAACGAATCACAAAACTAAGATCCTCAAGAATCTCTGATAGGGTGCCTGCCCGGTTGGTTGCTAGAAAAACAGCGCTATTTAGCTTTAGTTTTATTTTTATTATTTTATTTTATTTAGCATTTAATAAATATTTAAATAGCTCCCAAGTCTCTACACGCACCGGTGAGTTAGTAGAATGCTAACCGAGTTGCTATTTGAAATACCAGTGAGGGTTCGGATCCGATTCTATTTTTTGTTTTTGCTTATTGGCTTTTGGATCGTTGCCTGATATTGACAGTGTTTTCCCAACGCTTAAAACAAATTTGTCTTCAAACTCGGAGCCCCATGGCAAAGAATTTCATGGTATCTCAAAAATCAAATAACTATTCATCTAGAACTTGACTAACTCACAGCTGGTGGTAGAGACGTAGAAGCCCCGAATAAACCCCAAGGAGCATGCTAATTTCGTGTAAGGAAATGAACCCTTTTCCGGAAGTACCGTATCTCGCTCTACAGGGCTCGGTGGAAAGTTCTGCCACCACCAACGTGTTTCCCGTAGTCGATTACCTAGGGGTAGCCGCGAGCGTTTTTCGAATGTCGAGTTCGCGCATTCGCCCTTCCCTTGTAAGATGGACATTATGACAAGGATCAAGCGGAGCAGGCAAGGGTTTTTGCGGCGTTGACTGGTTCTATACTTGAACGAGATCTGGCAAAGCGGAAGGTGACAATTTCTGCAGGTTTCGGCGAATCTGGCAAGTTAGGATATTTGCACGATTTTGGACATAGTGAGCCAGGTCGCGCGCGTTTCAGCGTGGGGGGAGCGCAGGGGTAGTCCGAAGTCTAGCCGCTTGCAGCGCAATGCCACTGTAAGCGGCTGGTATTTAAAGAAGCTCGCAATACATTAAAGAAAATAGCTTGAAGATTACGAAAATGTGGTCATTTTTGCGTCCAAAAAGCTTCCGACAAGAAATTTTTCTACCTAAAATTAAAGTTTTGATGCTCTGGAATAGTTTAAAAAAAACATAAACGCATCCACTGTTTATTACAACATTACATTTGTAATAAATACATCAAAATTATTAAAAGAAGAATGCGCAAATTAAAAAATGTGAGTTAATTGTGTCATTATTTCTCGCCCAGGAGATACACCGTTTCGATCTTCCTGGCGTTGGTGAAAGACTGCCAGACAATCTCTGCCTCTTCTGCGGTGTCCACCTGGAATGGCAAATAATTTTTGAGGTCCTTTTCTTCCACTTTTTTTGGTATTTTTCACCAAAAAAAACAGCAACGTCACCCACCTCGATGTATCGAATCTGCAGCCGGAACTTGCGGAAAAACTTCACGGTTTGGTGCTCGATGCGCATTTCCTGAAATGGGCTAGCATATGATTGGCATAGCGCACACTTTGGTCAAAAACATCAAGTGGTTACCGCTTAAAGCACCCCCAAACTTATTTCTGCGCGAAAATGCCTATAATATCTGATAAAAAACGTAATTTTTAGGGTAAAATCGACCTATAACAGGTCCGATATGTAAATGTGGTGATCTTTTCTAACGGATTGCCATAGATTAAATCGAAAAACCATAGATTAACTCGCCTTGGCCAATATTCTGCTGTCGATCGGTGGGATGAGGAAAGGCGCCTGGCACCAATCATCGGTCTGGCAGATCTGAAATGACTTTGTCGGCCTCTCTCTATCTCTCTCTTTCTCTCTCTCTCTCTCTCACTCTCTCCACTCACCTGCATGTACATATATCCATTCGGTTTCGTTCGAGTCGGTAGCGGAAGTAAACTGTAGCTTCGAGTGTCAAAACTTCTATCCATGTACGCGGCGATGACCAGAGGCACAATGCCCATGATGAGGAAGATCACCAGGAAGATCCTGCCACGCATTGAGAGCTGCCATTTAAACTGCTTCAGATAAAAACAGGAAGGAATACCTCATAGTCGTCTTCCTCAACGTTTCGCGCGAAAACCATCCTCGCTGTCCTTCGCAAAGATCTTCTGAAAAAGTGTTCGTATTTGAGAGGCAAAGCGATTATCGGGTGATATGGCAAGTTTTGGGAGGTTACCACACAAGACGGCTTAAAGATGGAAACTGATGGAATACTCTTGATTTTGGGCGCTGACCTAGTAGAACTGACAGATGAAAACTCACATCTGGGCTGAATAACCTCGGGGTACATTGTATACTAGACCGCCATTCAAAAATTGTTCGATAGATCTATTTCGATTCGAATGGTTTGACTGGCGCCTGATTTAATGCACTAACAGTAAGGTTTTTAGTTTTAAGGTTCGCAAAACAGTCCGCACGACACAAAAGTCCTCAATCATCTCTGCTAGGGTCCCTGTCCCCCGTTGGCTGCTAGAAAAACCGAGCTAACTGTAAGGTGTTTTCGCGTAGGCTCGAAATTCCATACGGGACCAAGCCTACCTTGTGCAGAATTTTTCGCTGATTCCGAATCTGTTTTCCAAATCTGCACAAGAGCTCAAATAAAAAAATTACAGCTGTTTTTTTTGTCACAAACCGGCGCGAAATGTTCGATTTTAAATCCCTCCGAAAATCTTCTAGAATACTTTCTGCGTAAACATAAGTCAACTGCTGGGGGTAGAAAAATATGCTCTCTCGAATGAGCCATCTTACGGAACTGTAACTTTGGCCCCTTAGTGCTTTATGTCGGTGCCCGGAGAGATCGGAATGCAGCCCAACTGTTTATTTTGGGGAGATCGTGGGGAAAATACATTGACATAAGATCATTCATTGGCGGATTGTGAAATGCAACACAATGAATTTCAAACTGCATTGTGTAGCTCTGAAATATACTGAGGGGCTGGGGTATATCTGGCTCCGGTAGATTGTTGCTGGTAGACTGTGTAGGGATCGCGGTGCTTCTGCTCTTCGTGGCTCAACAGGTCCAAGAACGTATCCTCTAGACTGCATTGCGTGATGTTGTAGTCTTCAATTACTGGAAAATACATATAGGACTTGAACAAATCAAAAATTCTACGGAGGTCATTATGAAGTGGAGCCATAGCGATGAGCTTTCCCCACAGCACGGACCATGTTGCATCTTGATGAGGCGGTATCTGACGTTGGTGGTAAAACAATTGGTTCTTGGCTGTTAACGGGGGGGGGGTAACTCTGGCCTATCGCGCGATGTGTCAGATTTTTATGATTTAGGTAATATCGAAAAAATTTTTGAGGAATAAGGCTATTTTCTGATGTTCTGCCCCCAGAGGCTTGTTAAATCAAAGAATCAAATGTTTGCCATTTTTATGCTTTTGCTAGCAGCCCGCCAGCAGCCTTTTGAAATCTTTGTGAATTTTTTTGGACAGGGTTTGGATGGCTGCTAAACCAATGAGATTCAGTGTTTGGAAAACAACTTGTAACTGTTGCATAAAAATTCCGAAAATCGAGCAACAAACTCCGGTATTTCAAAAATCGAAGAAAACATCTCTTTTCGCCTTGTCGAGAGCTTTCGCTAAATACCTAAATCGTAAAAATGGACACTCTTCCGGACAGCTGGAGGGGGTCTTTTTTTGCGGAGAAGCCCCCAAAAAAAAGGCCTTGATGAAATTCTTCAGAAAAAATCAAGTTTGTAAAACTTTACATTGTTGTGACTTTATAGTAAACGTACAATACGTCTTAGGTTTTCCACACCGGCTCAGGCATTAACAGTCAAAAAACTATACATCCGACCGTTGCTCCGTTCCCTTACCTGCCAAGAGACCGTCAACGATTCCCCAGCTTCCCTGATGGCCGCTCCCGGGAATATGCCCCTGACGTGACGATCCAATCTTCTCACGACAAATCGGTGCTGCCACCCCTTCAGCTCTTCGCCCGTTACTGCATTCGGTAACTTTCCCTCATCGCGCATCTCGCGTAGGACCTGCTCAAACAAAACGATCTCTTTCTCTTTTGTTGGCCGCTTCAGATCAGCAAACTTTTTCCATCGCAACCACAGTGTCAGCGTGTATCCTGTGCTGTATCTGAAATGAGAAAAATTGTCAAGAAATGGCGGCCAAAGGCCAAATTCTATTTCGTGTACACAATCACTTTCACCCACTTTGACTTGAGATGTTGGCTACTCCCAATAGCCGTCATTTTCCCTCGACTTATAATGGCTATTTTGGTGCATAATGCTTCGCATTCATCCATCGAATGAGATGTCAATAATTGGGCTGTTTCTGCCTGGTTTCCAAGATTCAAATATTTCCAGATGTCTCGTCGAGCCTCCAATTTTATGTTGATTAACAGAAGAATATTGCATACCTTTGGATCGATGCCAGCTGTTGGTTCATCTAATACTCGAATTGTATTCTGTGCCAATAGCGCTATTCCGACTGAAATCTTTCGCCGCTGGCCACCCGAACATGTTCGTAATTGGTGGTCGCCGTGCTTTGCCATTCCCACGGCTTGGAGCGCCTGAATCGTATTTTATATGAATCAAAAAAGGCTACAAAGTTGTCGAAAATCAAAACCATTCCATTTTTTAAAGGGATCGGAAGTGAACAAATTTAGTTAGCCGGAAAATAGGGCCCTGTGGGTTGAAGGCCTCTGTGCGCCCAGAGGGCGGGCGGCGTCTGAATTTAAATTTCGCGTGTTCAACTACAGAATCACGTTCTCGGCTGTTTTAGGATCAAATTAAAAACTATTATATTATATTAAAACACCAAATCATTTAAAATTACGTCAAAATTTCCTAATAAGGGGAGAATCTGCGAATTAAAGCGTTGTCCCAAAGAATCCGGGCGCAAATAGTTTCGCGCAAAAAGCGAAATCGTGTCCGTCCTGCAGAGGCCTTTGGCAATTCTCCAGAAATTAAAGACCCCTCCCAAACGGGCCTTGAGGTGACAGTTCGGCCCCCCTTAAAGAATTTTCTACAAAATGTTCACCTCCAATGCGATTTTTCTCGGCTCCTTGTAACCATGGAAACAAGCCATCAGCTCCAGCGACTCGAAACCGGTCAAATCCAAAAGCACTGCATCAAACTGCGGGCAATATCCGATCGGCTAAAAGATCAACTCCTTTGAAACCCTTTTTCTCACTTACAACTGCCGCATCGAGTTCTCCCAAAATTTCGACCCTTCCACTCGTGGCGTATCGCAGCTGTGTAATGATATCAATAGTCGTCGTCTTGCCCGCACCATTTACTCCTGAATTTTGTCGGATTAGAGTAATAAGGCGATCATTACCTAGCAGTCCAAAGCACTGTCCTTTTTCTACGCCAAAAGTGAGCCCATGGACCGCCGGCCGAGCAAAGTTCCAGTTGTAGACCTTTTTCAGATTTCGGACCTGAATGGTTACGTTAGTTAGGGAGCGGTCGGTATTTATAACCGCAGGCTTTTTATAGTGTAGGTTTACATAAGCCGCTATTATCTACAGGGTGTCCCAACCCTCCCCCCCCACCTAGCGGTCCGCAGTCGAGTCCGATTTTTACGATTTAGGTATCTATCAAAAGCTCTGGAAAAGGCGAGAAAACAAGGAGGGTTCATCTTCTTTATTATGTATTTTTATTCGCTAATTCTATGTCCAAAAACCATGAAAACTGCTGATTTATGCAAGATCTGTGTTGTGTCTTGACAAAGTGATGTGTGGCAGCGCGGACGAACAGTATCAAAGACTGTTTATTCGACGAGCGACATGGCGGCAAGAGGAGGAGGAAATTAGAACTGAACTGGGGAAATAAATGCCATCGCAGGCCCCTGGGGGGAGAAAGACCCCGTTACGGTGGAAAGGGCACTGGATAGGCGAGGGGTCGGGGAGCGAAGGGAAAAGGGCGCGGGCGCTCAAAGGCGCCTCCACAACACCTCCCCCTGTACAACGAAAAGAAATGTGGATAGGAGGAGGAGACACCAAAAGGAAATGTACAACTGCGTACAGCACAACGAGGGATCAAGTCACAACGTAAAATAAGTGAAAACTTATTTGCTTTTTCCTTTAATAATTGGCGAGCGTAGGGCTTAGTCATCCTTCCTTCCTTCCTTCCTTCAGAACGTCCGGCGATGCTTGACCAAGGAAGACGGCGACTTGTGGCACGACTTCCTTCCCTCTTTGCAAGAAGGATGAGCTTGATGTTGGGCTTCATGTCGACGGGCTGCTTGATGTGCGCGCTCCGTCCGCCGAGCTGTTGCAAACACTCGGTCTTTGCGATGGACCTCTTCCGTAGAGGTGGAACCCATCGGCCGGCTGCTCTTGGTGGTGACGATCCGGGCTTTTTCGACTTCATGTTGTCGCTTTCGCCGGGGCTCATGGGGCTCCTCGTGCGATCGATGGCCATCGTCCAGCGGTCCGACTTCCTTTCTGGCGCGGATCCATCGAAGTTTTGGATGCTGCGGGTGGGGGCATACCCTGTCCGATTTATCCTCCTGGGATATGGGAGGGACAATCTCCAAGCCAACCTCTCTGCAAGCGAATCCAGTCCTTTGTGGGTGAGGACATAACCGTTCTTCTTTTTGAAGTTGTTTCGCGGCTGGCCTTGACGGAGTTCCACTGGGCGAGCGGCAGCCGGATGCCGCGTAGTTGACCCATTCGTCTCGGCCTTCTCTGCATTTCTTGTCGTCCTTGGCTGGAGACATCCTTCCTTCCTTCTTGCGCTTGAGGCGAAGACGGCGCGCTTCGACTTGGTCCTGCTTGTCGACGGGCATGGGCTCGCGATCCGGGCACATGAAAGTGCGAAGGCCAAAGTAGGGGTAAAAAAAAATACTTCCCTTTCAATCGATTCCTCCATGGGATGACGCCGCTTCTTTGCCATGTAGAGCTTCTTGTCCTTGCGCTTGATTTTCCTTGACTGGACGGCGGCGGCTCGAGCGGCTTCTTCTCGGCCTGGGGTTTTCCTTGTTTTGCGTGAGTTTGGGGTCCCTGCTCGCCAGTTGTTGTGTCTTGACAAAGTGATGTGTGGCAGCGCGGACGAACAGTATCAAAGACTGTTTATTCGACGAGCGACATGGCGGCAAGAGGAGGAGGAAATTAGAACTGAACTAGGGAAATAAATGCCATCGCAGGCCCCTGGGGGGAGAAAGACCCCGTTACGGTGGAAAGGGCACTGGATAGGCGAGGGGCCGGGGAGCGAAGGGAAAAGGGCGCGGGCGCGAAAGGCGCCTCCACAACAATCTGCATGCTAATTGTCAATTCCTGCTGAAAAATTTCCGGTTTTTTTAGAAAAACCTCAAATATCGCTGGAATTAAATTAAATCTTAGAAAACGAAACCCGCTTGTTTTCTCGCCTTTCCGAGCGCTTTCGATAGGTAGCTAAATCGTAAAAATCGGACTCGACTGTGGACCGCTAGGTGGGGGGGGGGTTTGGGACAGCCTTTAGATTTTTCGTGTTTCTAAAATGAGCCACGACAAAATCAGAGCATCTTTGCCAGAATTGCGGCGAAAACCGACCAATAGCGGGAGCTTCGACCGGAGATGCCGTTCAACGTAGCTTTTCTCGTTGCGCACATCCTCATCTTCGTAGGCGTCGATATTTACTGTGGGCTTGATCAGATCTTGCTGACGGTCCACATTGTGCACCACTACTCCCTCGTCATCAACATTTTTCTGATTGTTCCCGATCTGATCCATTTCTAACTCATCTTCAACATAATAATCAAGTGCTGGATTTTTCGTCTGCGCAGCTACACCGCCGGATGCAGAATTATTGAATGGTAGATGTCTACCCAGCCGTGTGAATGATCGGCGAATACGACGAAAAGATCGATTGGCGGAGCCAATCGATCGATTGTGCACCACTACTCCCTCGTCATCAACATTTTCCCTGATTGTTCCCGATCTGATCCATTTCTAACTCATCTTCAACATAATAATCAAGTGCTGGATTTTTCGTCTGCGCAGCTACATCGCCGGATGCAGAATTATTGAATGGTAGATGTCTACCCAGCCGTGTGAATGATCGGCGAATACGACGAAAAGATCGATTGGCGGAGCCAATCGATCGATTGTGCACCACTACTCCCTCGTCATCAACATTTTCCTGATTGTTCCCGATCTGATCCATTTCTAACTCATCTTCAACATAATAATCAAGTGCTGGATTTTTCGTCTGCGCAGCTACATCGCCGGATGCAGAATTATTGAATGGTAGATGTCTACCCAGCCGTGTGAATGATCTGCGAATACGACGAAAAGATCGATTGGCGGAGCCCCGAGGCAACATTTCCATTTCTAGTTCCGGTGAATTAGTCGCTTCAGCATATTCGCTTGGAATTTTTGTGGGATCGTAGGTATATAATGCTGGATCTTCCGCCGATGTTCTTTTCTTACTAGCAGCAGTGCCCGGTGCACGATCAAGGCAAGGTAAACGTCCTCCCAAAAGTGCGAGCTTTCGGCGAACGTTACGAGACGAGAGAATGTAGAAGAATATCATACCATTAATGCCGAAGAGGAACATTAACAGTGTCGGTTTCCCTAGGAGGAAATGGAAACGAAAATGTTTGCAAGCGTACCGAGACTGTCCATACTCCATAACGGACGCAGGGGAGCGAACCTAGAAACAACATTTTGGTGGGTCGATCAGATAAAAAGGTTTTGAACCGAGATGGCGACCAACTTGGCGCCGCTGATCGGCAGATTCGCGGGTCGTTTCGCGTTTATCGACCAGTCCTGAACCGCGCTCATCCCCGCGCCCATCGCGTATGGAGGGAAGAGGAACATCAGAACAACCTGAAATCGGCCGAGTTTGCAGTTTAGGTTAGCACCAGCGCTGTCCCCCCCGCTACGCGGGGGTTCAGCGCTGGCCCTCTCCCCCATAATTTGAATTTGGAATTGCATGCAAAATTTGGCTGCATTCCCGGTCGGTCGGTCGGCGGGCGTACGGACATTAGAAATTTATATATAGTAGATAGATAGATAGTAGTTTTTATGTTAATTCGCAAGATCGGTGCGTTTGGGACGGCGAAAACAGCAGGAAAATAGTAGTGGATAGCTAAAGAGAGCTGTGGTTCAGTTTACCCCCCCCCCCCCCCCCCCCCGCCACGCCACGCCTACCGTATCTCGACAACCCGTTGTTGTAGCGGCCTGTAAATTATACTAAAATACTCGCCAGAGCAAGGCGAACATTTTGGTATGCTTTACAAACCTGTAGATGAACAGGAAGCCGAGATACAAAAGTTGGGTGCCGGCCCGGGGTGGGGGGGGGGGGGGGGGGGTAAACTGAACGCTTACCCTAAAAAGCGGTGGAATACAACGAACATGTTCTCCTATGATTTCTACCGTCCGTACCGTCCGACACGAAAGCTATCTGCATAGAACCCGATTACCTCAAGTTGTTCGTGATACTGAAGTACCCCTAGCATTGCGACGACAACAGCGGCAAAGGCCGACGTAACGAACTAAAAACAAAGAAATACCAAAAATACGGATAACTGACCTGCCAAATCACCAATATAGTGCTAGCTTTTGACGGCGATTCAAAGAAGTAGGAAGCGGAATAGATCAAAGGGCAGCAGGCCCAGAAATACAGGCTCCAAAGTAAGAAAACACTAAAAATATTCCGTAATTGTCTTTGTTCGGCTCACTATTGCAGTTCCCCATTCATTAGTCCGTGGTACCAAAAGAGCATGATCGACGCGCCGCAGACGAAGAAAAATATCGCGCCATCATAGATGATCGAAGCCGTCCAGAAAAGAGAGGGGTGCAGTTTTGTGAGGAGTTGCTATTGGGTACATTACTTTGTGATAGGGTCCGAATACCTGATGTTTAAAATGCGAAGCGCGCTCCTCGACGTGGAACATGACGAACGAGGAAGTGGTTAGGGCAAATGCCAAGATCAACACGGGGACAATTACGAAGCGATTCATCTAAAGAACGGACAAATTTTCAATGCAAAATTTGGAGCGTACGATTCGTTCCTCTTCTGAAGCGCTCTCGCTCCCATTGGCTGGAGCGTAGATTTGAATTGATGAGTGGATTGCGGCTGTTACTTTTCCACTAAAAGGCGGTCTAAGGGGTTGGCTAGAGTTGTTACGGCCCGGTCCTACTTTTTTTTGGGCCGAGCTGTATAGACTCAAGGATATGGATAAGCGAATTTTTTTTGTCTGCACACTGACGTGAAATGCCGCAGCCTCGCATTCGCCACAAGATGCATGGCAGCAGGGGCAGCATGGTACGCATAAGAATTGAATATGGCGTGCGTCCCATTGGCCAGCAGACGAACACCGACGCCGAGTGCTGGCAGGTGCTTTGGTTCCTGACAAAAAATTACCAGCTAAATAAATTTTGGTTCTAGCTCTCCTGAGCCAGTACGCAGAATCGGTATTTCTTCATCTTGCATAATTATCATTTCGCATAACGCTATTTCGCATAATTGCATTTCGCATAATTTTTATTCCGTATAACGGTGATTTCGCATAACGATGATTTCGCATAACGCTTATTTCGCCTAACGGCGATTTCGCATAACGGTCATTTCGTAGAACCATGATTTTGCATAACGATCATTTGGCATAATTTTCATTTCACCTAGCGATGATCTCGCATAACGTTTATTTCGCATATTTTTTAGTTAGTGGCAACCAAGAGCAAAACAGGGCGTTTTTGATGACATGAAGTGCAGTCACGGTATAAGACAATCGAAATGCCTAGCTACCATTTACGCGGATTCCGCATCTGTAATCATTGTAATGCTTTTGACCTAGTCTTGCGGTCAGATCTGCTAGTTTACACATGGATACTATCTACAACGTAGGATTTTTGGTCAAGCCCCTCAAAACAGACGTACACCCGATGGGTCATGGATTTTGAGCAAGCTTGGGATATCTGCACGGAAGGGCGCAAAAAACCGCGCCGGTAGATTGTTTTTCATGCGTTGCTGATTGCTAAGCTAGAGTTATATTCACCATCGGCTGCCAATGGCGAAAATTATGCGAAATGGCGGTTAGGCGAAATCAAAATTATGCGAAATGGTCGTTAGGTGAAATGAAAATTATGCGAAATGATCGTTATGCGAAATGACGGTTAGGCGAAATCACCGTTATGCGAAATAAGCGTTATACGAAATAAGCGTTATGCGAAATCACCGTTATGCGGAATCAAATATGCGAAATGCAATTATGCGAAATGGCGGTATGCGAAATGAAAATTATGCGAAATGAATGGAAATCGCAGAATCACTCACCTCAAACATTTGCTCCTCAAACGATCGCGCGGGGTCGAGCTTCAGAAATCGAGCGCACTGATCTTCTAGGTACTGCTGGTAGATGGAGACTTCTTGCCCGGGACGGCTTTCGTCTGATTGGACGATGCATTTTATTGGGGATACTGCTGTGAAGTCAAGGGCCTTTGATCGACCAACCTGAAACCAACGGAAAATCGGTAATGTAAACGTTTTTGTAATCAAGACATTTTCCCGAAGCCCAATTGCTTTATAAAAGTATTACGGTCAAACCAACAGCTACAAAAAAACTTTGAAAACTCTCACGTCGGGTCCATTCATTCCGTCGAAAAAACAAGCGAGAAGAATCAATGCGATCGGGAAAGTAACCTGAAAAGTGGACCCGTCAACTTCCGGTTTTCAATACCTGGCCGGAAAACTGCAATAGATTTCTTTTCGTAAAAAGATATCGTTTCCACATCAAATATTTGAATTGTTGCCACCAGAGACGAGGTCCAGGATTTAGCCGAAGGGAATCATCCGCCTAAAGATTTCCTTCTGTTTATTAGACCTCTGGCCCGGACCCAATGGTCAGTCGCTTTCGGGCCTTCTTGTATCGGTTGCATTCCAGCCTTTTCCATTCCTAGCTCGCCGACCTAAATGTGCAATTTTTCGAGATATCTTTAAAGTTTTCAACAGCCCCAAAGTTATTAATTTTAAGCTACCTTCAAGAAGATTTGCTCGAGTGTATTTAAAGACACCCCAAAACTCATCAGCACCGCCTGACCAGGCCGGATTCGTTTGATTTCTTTCTCTACCCTAAGATTTCTTGATTACACAACGTCCTATGGACCATCGGACGCTGCCGATAATACCCTACCACTTGAACATGTCGGGGAAACTTTGCTTATACTCTGTCGGGATCGTAATTTCAATTTGACGTCCTTTTGGCTGTCCCCTCACGAAATTTGAGGCTGATGTGCCGATGGCATTTGCACAGACATTCAACACCCGGTCGCCCATCGCCATCACCTAAACGGATTCATAAAAAAATCTGATGTCTACTTGATCAGATGCAACGGTAGTAGCCGAATCGGCAATCACGTTTTCATTAACCGCTGATGAGACGAGCGTCAGCACGAAGCCAGTCCCATATTTGTGCTTGAGGTATTCTGGTGACCCATTGGTAACATCTCTCCCCGCTTGCATAATGTATATCCAATCCCCTAATCTTTCGGCTTCATCCATGTAATGGGTCGTTAGAAGGATTGTTCTGGAACGAAGAGGATAAAGCGCTTTTCAGAGAAAAGAGAGAGAAGAGAACTACGGTAACTGTCAAAATGTTCGCCAATTGTCGAAAAAACCTTGACACACAGCTTATTTAGCCCTTTAAAAAACAATACCGATTGGGTTTGATCTGCTGTAGAAGATTTTCAATGTCCCTTCTCGCGCCGGGGTCCATCCCGGCGGTCGGCTCATCCAAAAGAACTACCTAAATTTTTGGACCTTAGTGAACTGATCGAAAAATCTGATCGTGAGCCCCAAAAAACATGATCTTTTGGAGTTAATAAGCCTTAAAATATACCCTAGATTCGCCACAGGCCGCTACGGCTACACACAGCTTACGCTTCGTTCCACCGGACAGATTCTCGACGAGCTGAAAGAGGTTTTTTTAGAATGGTAATATCACTCCAAACAACATCCAGATCTACCAAGCTATCTGATCGTTACCTCATCAGCTTTATCCGCAAAGCGAAGTGCGTTCATATAGCCGTTGATCTCCTCATCACAGTTAGTGCTGCTTCCCTTTAGTCGATGAAAGAACCGAATCGTCTCGCGGACAGTTAGCTTATCGAAAAGTGAATTCTTCTGCGGGCACAACCCCACTGGTCGCTCCGATATTCCCACGGCACCTAAAGACAACCTGCACATTGCTCCCTATTCCCTACCGTACGACGGCTCTATCAACCCGCAAATAATTCCAAATGTCGTACTCTTTCCCGCGCCGTTGTGGCCCAGCAAAACCGTGATCTAAGGAAATGTTCTCACTTTTTGTTTGAAACCCCACCTGTCCCCTCGCTGCCCTCAGATTCATCCCATCAAGTGCCCAATTTCCCGAAGCGTACATTTTCCCCAATCCCTCCACAATCACATCAGCTTGAATTTCCGTCCGATCGAAATCAATCTGTTCGTCGAGTTTTGTGTTGCGGTGTGAATGTCCGTCGGTGGGGCCATTCTACAAAAAAAAAGAACTTTTCGGGGCAATTAGCAAAGTACACCCGGCACACCCGTTTGCGGACCTGACAGCCCACGTGTTAGGTGGGCAGCTACGCAGAGAAACGCTTGCGTAGCTGCCCACCCACACACGCTATGGGCAGCTACGCAGAGAAACGCTTGCGTAGCTGCCCACCCACACACGCTATGGGCAGCTACGCAAACGGGTGGCCCGGGCGTATTTTACAAGTTGCCACTTTTTGGGGGGCTGTTGTGGTCCGAAAGGCTAGACTCTAGTCGGTTACCCCTATTGCGCGCCCATATGACCGTATCCCCGCCCGTTAGATGTCGTAAAGGTCCCGTACTCGGGATTTCGCCCACAGTTATTCGTCCTAATTTTATTCTCACTTTTATCGTTTTGTTCGTTTTTGTACCATAACTATTTTTTTGCTTTTTTCGTTTTTGAATCATTGTAAGCGAAGATATCATGACTTTGGTTTGCAGAGGGGACAACGGCACGGTGTTTGGCTGATAATGGGTTCCGGTTGTTCACCTCCCAACTGGCGATATCAGGCTTATCGCCAGGGGTATGGGCAACAAAAGCCTCTCAAACCGGTGACACCAAAGGTATCGACCGGGTAAAATGATACTAAAAAGTTGTGACTAACCGGTCGTCTCCGCCAAAACGAAAAGAAATAACTCTCGCTGTTTGTCCGCATGTCATCAATGATCAAGGCAACGAACGTCATCCACAAAAAGTCAAACTGAATAGCGTAACTGATTTTTTGCAAAAAAAACAAACGATTAGCATGACGATGACCGCCGCCAAATTGAACGAGGTCAGCGGGTTATCAAAAATTTGCACCCAACCGAGATGGTATTCTAAACGTTTTTTTAGACTCTGAAGCCTTGGTAAGGCCAGAAAATACCTCTATTACACGCCTCGGCCATAATCTCGACAGTCAATCGAAGAGCATGGTTGATATTCAGAGAATAGAAATAGCATTGAAAGATCTCGTCTTGAGAGGGTAGATGGATATATGCGGCACCGATTGACGCCATCCAGCCGATGATTGCTACTAGAAAGGAATATTTTATTATGTTAATTTTCCGATAAAAACGATACCCCTCATGACATTTGATGAGGTCCTCATTATCGATGAGCAGAGGAGAGCGAATGCAATCACAGCAAATGAATAGAGGTAGATGATAAAGAGGACGAGATGCCATGGGACCGACTAGAATCATGAAAACCGTGTCAAATTTTTAAAGCGACAAAGACGTCGAAAAAGAGTTACGGCCCAAAAACCGCAGCACTGTACGTCGGAGGCCTTTGCACGCCCAGAGAGCGGGAACCGTGCGAATTTGAAATTCCCAGTGGTCACCTCCAAAAGCCCGTTCTCAGGCATTTTTGTGGAAAATTTGATGGTTAAAACAATAAGACAATCTAAAAATTTGTGCTGGTTTCAGAACTGAGCTCGAAACTTCAGAAATATCGCGTTTTCACAACCAAATCCAGCTAAAAAGGCTTCGTGAAAAATTCTAGATGTAGTTTCTGTGACCCTGAATAAACGAAAAATGCTCGGATTTTACTGTTGGGCTAAAAAATAAAAACTCGCAAACGCTAGCAAAAACCCACACCAAGCAGTGACATGATCGGATATGCGCAAATCGTGAAAATGACGGTCGCTTTGGCCCAGGCGACAAAGCCGTGGGTCATGTGAAAACCTTTGATCGAAGCCCCATCACGCGCATGTAATCCTGGAAAATATCGCTCCTACTGGTCCGACGTCTAGAAAAACTCACCTTCAGCCCGCCTTCAATTTCGGCCGAAATCTCGCGCGCCAGATGGATGACGGTGGGGAAGATTAAAAACGCATAGATAAGTGGCAGACTTAGGAGGAAATCCTGAGCACAGGTGGAATATTTTCCCGAAAATTTAGTTACTTTTATAGCGCGCTGTTTCGATTCGGGCACCGGAAATCGTTGAAGGTAAAAGGGCTCGATCCGAGCTCCTGGTCTTGTCCATTTCTATGTATTTTATAAAGTAACTACCTCCTAAGATACCTTTAAAAACAGCTCGTCCAGCGCCTTCTTGAAGCTCAAATAGCCGTAGGACCAATAGGGCGGAGCGATGGGAAGCTGAAGAGTAGAATTTTCTATTTTTTTCTGCAAATCATCTAGATATTTAAAGACCGTCTTGTCTTTCCATTTAATTTGTTTATTTTATGGCACGGAAAGATGAATTCTTTGTGGCTTTTTTTCCATTTAAAACCGACCGCCTGAAAATCCTTTCCATAATACGGATTTCCGCCGATCCATTTCTCGAGAAGATGCCATGAGGCGCTCGTCTTTCTCACATCCTCCTCATTCGGATGCCACAGCTTATAGGCCAATTTTGCGGTGCCCAAGTCGACTTCGGTGAATTCGATGCCGCCGAATACACTGCAATTTCGCGCATCGACTGGGTGAAGAAATAAAGATGGGTTTTGCCATCAGATCACGACAAAAAGGGACGTAAAAGAATGTTTCAGGCGATTTTATTTTGCTTTTCCTTACAGTCCAGCTGATTTTTAAGACAGGCTGCAGTTCCAATTTTGACAAATTCTAGTCCTTTCCCTGAGTTTTTGCTGATTCAAGAATTCCTTTCAAGGCATTTTAAAAATTCCTTTTAAGAGCCGTTCGCAAGCAACTCGACCAACCCCTATTATTGCTTGGCACCGCTTTTCGACCCTGTTTTTTACGGCATCTGAAAGAGCATGTTCGGATTCGTCGGCTGGTGCTATTTTGAGAATTTAAAAATTTCATTTTCTGGTGTCTTTTTAAATATTTAAAAGCTGGACGCAAAAGCTGTTGGCAGCAAGAAAATTATCGCGAAAATCTGTCGCACATTGCCGATAATTCGTCATTTTTTGAGCAGATTTCGCCCCACTCCTGCGAGTCAAAAACCTAGCTGAAAAATGGGAACGGCGCAATATGGGTAGCGAGTAGCGATAAAAACGCGGCAAAGGCGCTAAGTACGGCAGCGATTTGATAACGAGCATCGTGTGGCAAACAAGATGGCAGAGAATTCCGAGCGAGCCAAGTCGAAGAGTAAAAGAGCATCCATGAGATTCTTTTCCTCGGTACAAGCACAAACCCATTGACAACGCAAGACGACTCATTGACCAGACTTGCCCGTAGCAATTCGTGCATCCTCTGAAATTTACAACATTTCCACTTGATGCTTCCTACCTGAACACTGTCCACTCTCACACATGCCATACCATATACATTATTGTTATACCGATGACAAAACGCGTCCATCAAGTCATCGACCAGACGTCTCGACGTGCCGCCGCTTGAACTATGAAAAAAAATGAGGTTCTGGACTGTTAGCGGGGGGCGATTGGCAGCGCGGAAAAGCCCTTTTTATTTTGTTCTTCGTTTTTATGTTTTATTGCTAGAAAGTTATAAAAAATCTTTTCAGTCCCAAAATTGGAAAATTTGAGATTTTTTGTTTAATTTTTCATACATTTGCAACCAAAAATCCATAATTTTCCAAATTTTTTACAATTTTTCACATTGGTTTTTATAACTACAAGCTATGTAAAATGTCATAAAAGCTGTTTATAATTTGTTCTAGGGCCGTAGGGAAACCCTGCAAAAAATTTGCCCCCCCCCCCGCTAACAGTCCAGAACCAAAAATAATTTCGATCAGATTTCCGATACCTATATAGCATTCGAAAAATGGAATTTCCACAGTTCTTTTTCAGCATCGGGTCCACGGAGCCGATGATTCTAAAATGATATATATTTTCTGTAATTGAAAATGTCGTCATTTTTTGCAATTTTTGACGAAAAAGCCATAAAATCACAATTGTTTGAAAGTGATTTTGATTTTTCAAAAATTGCAGAAATTCGGTATTTTAAAATAATGCAACTTGAATGTTTTTTTTGTAGGGACTAATAGACGAAACTAAAAAACTGAGAAATTTCGATCAAAAACCTGTTGAAATCAGCCCAATCTCCGGATACTTCGATGGGCGGGTAACTTGCCGCCGGAGTGATATCTGGAGCCTTTTTATTCATCTAAAATTATTAGAATGCTAAAGGAGGTATTAGGAATTTCAAAATACTGCAGACTAATTAACCAAAATGCGACCTCCTGCGCCATATAAACGATGGGTATCGAGAGGAGCAGCGGGATCACGATTTCCACCGTTGTCCACGCCTAAATGAAGGGGATGGATCTGGATTTTTCTTCGTTTTTTACGCGATCCACAATTTGACGACGTTCCTCTATCATTTACTCAAAAATTAGTAAAACTTTCCGGAAATTCGAAATTCCGAAACTTGTTGCTCAAAAAAGTCTGGAAAATTTCGAAAAATTTCAGAATTTTACGGATTTTAGTATTTTATTTTTATACCAGTTTAGCTCCCGGTACCACTAAGAATCGTCTAAGCATTTATCTTATCTAAGGAATTTAGAGATATAGGTTTATTATGCTCCGTTCCCGCCAATGAACGAACCCTTTCTTGCATCATATTTCCCAAGACTCTACCCCTCAGTATCTCGGCTCTCCTAGGTGTTACTGGGCTTTAAAGTATACAAAAATGTTTTTCTTGATCTGTAGAGTAAGAATACGATCCATTTGAATGGAAGAAAAACGGAAATTAAGAAGTATGAGCTGAAAAACTCGGGATTTTAACTGGGGTGAGATGACTAGTAGCTTGAGTTTAGCCCCTTTGCAATTTGGAGCACCCGTCAAGCCAAATCCAAACCTTATTCCTCCACAACAGTTTCACATTTTTTTGCGTGAGTAAGCGGAATTGATCCCAAAAAGAAAGACCACGTCGATTCGTTGTTCCTTGATTTGGCATGTTTGAGAATGCAGAAGATTGATTCTTTCGAATTCTATTTATCGAACACCAACTACCAGTCCTGGAATACATATATTAAACAATTCTGCAACGAAAAATTTACATAAAATTCTGGCAAAAGAATTCGTGAGCGAGCGAGTGAGCAAAAACTGAAAACTGATAAGAGCAACACCGTGGAACAACTTTCCAAAAGCCGGAAAAATTGCAGGAAAATCGGGTTCGTAAATGCTAAAAACCATAATAACCACGGCGGGGGTCGAACCTGGACCGTCAGATTGGAAAGCGAGCACGCAACCAGTTGGTCAAGTAAGAAAAAGGAATATTGAGGTGTCTTATCAGTTGCAACTCGGTTGGGGGGGGGGGGAATTAATTGCATTAGGTAAGTCTGGTGACGCATTTATTCTTAACAAAAATAGGTGACATTTCTTATGTCAGAGTAGCCCGAGCGGTCGATCGGCCAATCTTTTTGACTGCATTTTCCGGACACCCCATGGGTCATCCGTTATCTCACTTTGCACTACCTCTCCCTCTCGCTCACTCTCTCTCTCTCGCACTCTCTCTCACCCTCTCTCTCTCTCTCTCTCTCTCTCTCTCTCTTTTCTTATCGGAGGAGGTATTAAAAACTGGTCACTTGTCTAACGCACCATTCATACCCTTGCGTAGGTCTCGCAGTGGTCCGTTCCAGCCCGACTCGATAGGATGTGCCAATAAAAAGGCTCTAACGCAGCGCGGAAGTATCGGATCGGAACGATAGCTATACGATAGCCAGTCAAATGCCCTTAAAACGGCCAGTGCCATATTTTTATTAAAATGCGTTATATTACAGTCGTCTTGTAGAATTTTGCGGGTCTTCGGGTTTCGCGGCCCTTTTTCACTGGACCCCGTCCGGGAAACCATGCAATTGAACTTCTTTTGAAGTCAAGAACCTGAGTCAAGGAGCCATTCCTTTGCCTGCGGTGCCAGAGCCAGCGTTGCGCTAGATTTCTAATTCTCGCACATCGAGAGTCTAGAAATATGCCTTGTTACTGAAATACCAAAAAGCAAAAAGTTGAATTCGTCCCCGGATCCGAACCCACGACCACACGCGT